TAGGGTTCATTTCAAGATCCTGGTTCTGGTCTATAGGGCCTTACATGGACAAGCACCACCTTACATTGGTGAATTTCTCAGTCCCTATACCCTAAAGATTACAGCCTGATTCATGATTCTCCGTCTGAGTGAGTGCGGAGACACGCAACGTCCTTGCGGGCCTGCCGGAGAGCTCCGCAAGGACGGATGGAGTCGAGCTCTCTTTTCTAAACATCTGTCAGTCGAGATGGACAACGCAAGCTTGTGATTGGTCAGGACGCCGCTGTTGTCTACAGCGCCGCCACTGCACCCTCAAAAACATAAAGAGAGCCGAGGATAACTAGCGGCAAACACAGAGAAGCTTGAAGAATACCTCGCAAAAAAACTCTAAAAACATTAAAGTTTAATTCTCCCGTGACTGGAGGAGTGAAAAGATATGCAGCAAGCGTTTTATTTGTGGACGGAAATGACAGGAAACGTGGGTTTAGAGGTGGCGAGTGCATGAAGAGGTGGAGGAGGATGAGACAAATTTGTCTGTGTTAAAAAGCCTCTTACATACAAAAAAACATAATATAAACACACCATCTTGGACCGATACATGACAGGATACCACATAACAGCGCTACGCCCTCTGTTGTCCTGCCGGGCAATTGTTTTGCAACACTCTCCAGGAGACGGAGAAGTATGAGAGCAAAACGCTTCCGTCAATCCGTGCGTGTCTGTCCCTTGCGGAGCTGACGGAGAAGCATGAACCAGGCTTAAAGGTGACAGATCATTTGCTGCTGTGGCCCCCAGACTCTGGACCACTCTCCCCCTGAGCCTGAGATAAGCAGACTCAGTGGTCTCCTTTAAGAAGCAGCTGAAAACTCATCTGTTCAAGCTGGCTTTGGTGTTCCTTCTTTCACAGGATCCACCAATTTCCCTCTTCCCTATTCATTTTTCCTTTCCTTACATTTTTTAATTACAATTTTTATTTTTTGTCATTTTAAACTTTTTCAAAATCTTTTTTATATTTTAAATTTTGTGTTTTTGTGAATTGCCTTGTGATTTTTATATTGAGAGGTGCTACATAGAGATTGTTTTCTTTCTTTCCAGCTGTTCTTTGAGCACATAAAATTTTGTGCTCATAATGTCCCAAAAGCCCTGAAAATAGGCCAAATACTAGTGATGCACAGATATGAAATTTTTGGGCCAATATCAATATTAAGATCACTGTTATTACCGATAACCGATATTTGCCGATACCCATATGCTGACATTAATGCTTCTAAAATAAGCAGATTTTGTATAGAATGAAAATTATTAAAGTTGAATTTACGTTATTATGTACACACAACACACACATTTATGGTTCTGAGATGATTTCATTCACTGTTCACATAACTTAACAATTACACATCACCCCTTCATCCTCTGAAACAGGCAAACAAAGGGAGACGAGATGGAAAAAATATCAGTTAATATCAGCCAGGGATGTTTTTTATAAGCACCTTTCTAGATAAAAATCACAAATTTCTTCAAAAGCACATAAAATATAAAAGATTAAAAAAGATAATATGGCAGAGAAAAACTAACGGCATTTAAATGGTTTTATTGCATGTTTATATATGATTCTATATTGTGAGTAATGTGTTGTCAGCCTACAACAGTTCTGTACAGCGTGGTTCGAGTCAGCCCATCTGAGTGTAGATTTGTTCCCATGCCAGCTCCATTACAGAACGTGGGTGCGCCCCTCATGGGTGCTGGGCGAACTTCGATCGCGGGTGAGCACGCGATTTTTGCTTGTGGCAAAATAGCATGAGGTGATCAGTAAACAGTGTAAGGTAACCTGTATGTAGGTCTGAAACGATTCCTCGAGTACCTCGAATAATTCCGAGTACAAAAAAGCCTCGAGTGAAATTCTCTGCCTCGAGGCTTCGTTTAATTCATGTTTAATTAATTCATGGCTTAGCAATCGCCCGGGGTCATGTTTCACCCAGACCGAAATAATCGATGCACATAAACACTGCACTGAATGCACACGCGAGTAGCGAATACAACTTAACTTTCTCTTAAGCCATGGCGGACAACGTGGACCCCGGTGGAGTGCGAAAAAGACAGAAAATGTCAAAGGTGTGGGACCATTTTTCACTTCGTAAGGCGGAAAATGTAGTCCAGTGTAATACTGTAAAATGGATTTAGCCTACAACAACACCACATCCTCCATGCTGCAGCACCTGACCAGGAAACATCCACATGTAAATGTCACTTCTGCAAGCGGACTCGGAAGTCCGCTATATATTCTGCGGACACTGTGAGACTTTTTTGTTTGTAGCACTCAGTTTCAGCTCACACTGTGTGTCTGGTAGCAACACGTCGGACCTAAAAATGTGCTAAAAATAGCAGTTTTTACCAGGGGCGGATTATGGACTGAAGAAGATCCGGGGCTTAACACACGTGACACGCACTAGTCAACATCATATATATATGTCTTGTACCACATAATTTTTAATCTGAAGCTACATATTAAGCATATTCAGGACAGAGTATTGTTCCTGTTAGTGTTTAGTGTGAGATGATAGTAAATATTCCCTTTCTTTCTCCAACAACTTTACCTGATAGTAAGCTAACTTTAGGCAAACCAGCAGCACAACAAATATTTTCAAATAAGACACAAACCTGAGTCACCACAGTCTCATCAAAGCTGGGGTTCTGTCGCGGTACTTTTGGTCTAATAAATTTCCTTATGTCCATCTTCACTCATGCGTTTCAGGCAGAGTGTAGAAAAAACCAGGCACTGCAGAAGAAGCCAGCTGCTGAAGGGCTTCTTCAGTGGTGGAGGCTCAGGCAGGCTGTATACAAACTACTGCTAGCTGCTCCCCCTCTGTTGGACTTTGGTACAGCATGTTACTTCCACGTTTGAGATCCGGGGCATTTCATTAAAGATTCGGGGCTTGAGCCCAAGTAGCCGGGCCTAACGCCGCCCCTGGTTTTTACACAACACGTCAGACTTTTTATTGTGCTGTTATTGACGTCTGTTGTCCCTCGGGATTGCTGCAGGAGGACACGGGTATTTATGAGAGGAAAACAAAAGAAAGTAAATAAATGGTTTTGTGATCAGTATAATTTGACATAACCACGGCAAACATGCTTTCTCGACAATCCTTGTTACTGTGTGAGGAAAAGTGTAGAAATTAAAACGGACGTGTGTTAATAGGGAAATAGCTGGCGAGCTATGTTTGCGCATGCGCCGTGAGCGGTTCTGGTGCTGTTTGGGCTGCAGCCGCTCGCTGTACTACTTCAACAGTTATCCTCCTAGTTTTTGTCTGGCTTGCAGGCTAGTATTCTCACACGAGGGGAAAATCGGCTCAGGTTGTAAACTTACCCCCAAATTCCACTACCTCCGCTCCGCTCCGATCCGCCCCCGCAGCCGCTCGCTTCCAAACTCAATTTTTACTGGTACGCGCTCTACAACGGCTCCGCTCCGGTGCGGGGACCTGAGGTGGGCAAACAAGCATGCGCAGGATTTTCGAGATCTTGCGATACAGTCCGAGCAATAAACGCGGAAGTTAGATCCAAACACCCGTTGTGTGGGAGAAGCATCGAAATGAACTGTTTAATCTGCCCATCATTTGTGTTGAGAGATCAGCAGTGTTTGGATCAACAAAGTGTGACTACTTTGATAGTGGAAACTGTATTTATGGCTTTCTTTTGTGCATTTAAACTTCAGCCGCCATTGATAGTTGTTAAAAGTTGTTAAACCTGTGCATATGAAACAAAAAACGCCTTTTGTTTATCGATTCATTGTGAAAAACGGAAGTTGTGCTTGCTCCTTTTCCTGTTGGGCGGTTGTGATTTCTGTCCATTTACTGCGGAGGTGCTCCGGTGTCCGGCAAAAATAGGATCGATTCTATTTTTGCCGGACGCCGGAACAGAGGGCGGCGCACGGCGCCGCACTGCCGGAGCACGGCCGCAGTAGTGGAATTGCTCTGATTGACTACAATGGGACCGATTTTGCTCCGGCGTTCGTGTCGGAGCGGAGGTAGTGGAATTTGGGGGTTATTTTTTGCACAGGCATTTGTTTACTGTGTTGAAGTTTTGAAAACTAATTTTGAATCAAACTTGAAGAATAACTGACAATTGTTTGCTCATTTTAAGAGGTCTTTCATATTATAATGGTTTACAAACACAAAAGGGCCATTTATTAGAGTACTCGATTAATCGATATAAGATTCGATAGAGTACTCGATTACAAAAATATTCGATAGCTGCAGCCCTACCTGTATGCTCCACAGAACCACAACTCAGCTGAAAATGGTGGTGTTGCTGGACCTTTTGCTCAGTTTTATGGCTTTTTGTCAGACAATGAACCAGGAAATGGCTGCAGGCAGTGAAACAGAAAGCAAAAAACGCCAGAGCAACCAGTGACTCCACCCCCTAGTCAATCAGTGGCCAGAAGCACAATGCCGGCCCGAGTCAGCCTTGCCAGGTACCTCAACATAGCAGGGACTAAAAATAGGGAAGAAAGTAGCAGGAAAATGCCAAACCGTGCCCTTGGAAACAGTGGTTGGCCGGGCTGCATCGGTCTGAGTTGCTCTGAGTAGTGTTGGAAAACCACCTTAACAATAGGTACCAGTACAATGTAAGAATCTAATTCAGGCCTTGGCTGACATTTTGTGTATCAGTTTGTGGAGTGCTAATTTGAGTTTGGCTAACTGTTTTGTGTTTTTATTAAGTAGTAACCTACTTTAACTCAGTGGCCTTGTGGTATGCCTTGAGACTGGGAGATTGTGAGTTCAAATCTGGTTGTCATTCCAAAGATTTTTTCAGAATTTCACCAGTGTGTGATGACTAATGGGGCTTTAACTTAGGTAATGTGTGTATGTCAGCAGATGAATACCAGCTATAAAGCAGACAAAGGAAGTATTGTACTCTGATTTAAACCAGTAAGTAAAGCTTTACAAGAACATAAATGGGTTGAGACTAGAATCAACAATCATCTTGTGGCATTTCTATGACTGAATGTCTGATTCGGACTTTACCTGAGGACTGATGGAAGGCTCTACTTCCTCCTACTACACTATCCTCTACAATGGGTTTGATCTTCTGTTCATCGCTGTCTTCTCCAGAGTTTCCGTCAGCCTGATCCTCTTCCTCCTCATCAACCTCACTGGAGGAGGTCTGCAGCTTGGAGGCTGCTTTGCTTCCTTTTTCTTTGCGTTTCTTTTCATAAGAGCGCTTTCTATTCGCTGCCTTTTTCTCAGATGTCTTTTCTTCCTCCTTTGTGTTTCCTTGTTTCTTTACGCGGTTAGATCTCCTCTTTGCTACTTTGCTCTTTGTGTCCTCCTGGTCAGAGTCAGAACCAGAAGCATCTAAACTCTCTTGTTTCTTCTTTTTAGGAACCTTTTTATTTTTGTCCTCTGCATCTGATTCAGAGCCATCAGACTTCCTTTTGCGTTTGGATGATTTTTCTGTATCCTTTGTGGATGACTCTGATTTGAATACACACATTTTGGTTTTTGTGTCTTCCTGTTCCTCCTCTGAGCTGTCGCATTTTGCAGCTTTCTCCAAGAGTGCGTGAGGAACTTCATCTGAGTCCGAGTCTTCTCCCACCTCTTCTGGATTCTTGGTCTTTTTGCCACCCTTTTTGGCACTGCTGGATTTCTTTGATGATTTGGCCTTGTTCTTCTTGTCTTCTTCTGATTCTGACTCAGAGGACTCTTTCTTGTTCCGTTTCTCTGACTGTTTCCTTAAGGGGGTGGTTTTTACTCTTGCAGAGTGACGGGTGGGTGGTGGGCTGCTAGTCCCATCTGCAGAACCAGAGCTTTTCTTGTCCCCACCATCTTCCTCACTCTTGATTGGCAGCTTTGCAACTTTATCTCTAGTTTTGGACCTTGAAGACCTAGAATCACGGCTTGTTACGACTGGTACTGGAGTCAGTTTGACTATCAGATTTTTTACTTTGGGCTGTGGGTTCTGGGACTCCGTGTTGTCATTTGACATTGAATCCACATCTTTGACTGTATTGCTGTCATTGAGCGAGAGCATGGACGAATCTGCAAGGCTCTCCACCATCTGAAAAAGCTCCTCAGGAACCGAAGGAGGCACTGACATGATGTCCTGATCTAAGGACATTTCATCCGCTGGCATGAGCTCATCATTACAGACCTCAGTTTTAATAACCTTTGTGATTTCATCGGTTTCTGTTTCGTGATCATGCATTTCAATGTTGCCAGACACTTCACTGCTCATGCCCTGCTGGTCTGCCTTGTCCATGTCGTCCACTGCTTCTGTCTTGCAAAACAAACCTGTTTCATCAGGCTGATCATTGTCCGTCTCCTCCATTGTCTCAGCTTTACAGATAAAATCTGTTTCACCAGACTGCCCTTTGACCTTCTCTTTAGTCGTTTCTTCTTTGCAAACTGTTTCACGGAGCGACTCCTTGCCAACCTTTTCTGTTTTCCCTCTTTTACGAACTAAACCTGTGTGATTAGATGTCTGTTTGCTCATCGCTTCGGTCGTTTCTTTTTTGGGAACCAACTCTGTTTCATCAAGCTGTTCTCCCATTTCTTCAGATGTTTCTTCTGGGGAAGCCAAGTCCATGTCATCAGGTGACTCCTTCATCTCTTCTGACGAATCTCCATCACAAATTGAATCTGCTACAATATTTTGCTTCTTGTCCTCTTTAACAGCATAAGCCTCGTGCTCTGAATCTCCAACACCATCCATGAGATCATTTTCGGCAGGCTCAGCACTATTCAGAATCTTTGTCACAGTATGATCCTCATTGCCATTCTGTAACTCCATGCTCCTGAATTCTGGCTTTAAAGCTTCCTCCAAAGCACCGTGGGCCTTTTTCAAATCAGACAGCACTGCCTTGAAGGCTTTCAAATGCCGATACCTGATGGACTTGTCTGCCTGATCATCAGTCGCCTGCTGGATGAACTGGATGAAGGTATGATTCAGACCGGTTGTGGTTTCAACAAGCTTCTTTGCTTTCTTTATGAGCTCTTTGGGTACCTGCAGGTTTTTATAAGAGAAAGTCATGGTCCCTGAGCCTTCGGTGTGTTCTTTTCCATTAGCAACTGCTTTGTGCTCTTTAGGCGATTTCCTCTTGTCCCGTTTTGCCTCACGCTGCTCTGTTTTTTCTTTTTTTTTTGGTTTACGTTCATCACTTCCATGTTTCTGTATTATGTGGTGGCATTTGGAGACCAGATCCAGGAGGGGCTCCGACTGGCACACGTAGCAATGCCACTTTGAGTCCTCATCAGTGATGCTCGACAGCTCCTTCCTGCCCAGGTTACGGAGAATGCACTTCTTGCAGAAGGCGTTGCTGCAATAATCACAGCAGATGAGATTTCCTCCTTCAGCACACCACCTGGGGAGAAATAGAACACTGAAAAACCAAACCAAACAACCAACAAAATACAAAATTAAAAGAGTGTAAAAAGAGTAATCATAAGACTGACTTTTAAAGGATCCCTTCATAACTTCTATTAAAGACAAACTCTTCTACAACCTCAAGTCAAACACTCCATGTAAGTCACTAAATGATAGTGTTTAGGTTTTTTAGTGCGTTATTTGTTTTTCAATCCATTACAAAAATCATGTTTTTCAATATTTCAACACTTCCTCAGATCAATAATACAAGATGTAAAAACGGGCCGAATAACATTCCATGGGTCGTCTTTACATGAACAAGTACCTATGAAGTCACCTCTGACTGACATCATCAGGGTATATGCAGGAATCTCAAAATTAAATTTAAGACTTTTTCAAGACTTTTTAAGACCTTGTAAAAATAAAATCAAGACCATCGCAAAGAACTAATCAATTGTTAAACACTAATATACTGTTTTTAAATACTGCATCGCTTCGTTTTCCACTTCATGTTGGGTTACGACACATCCGGGACAGCGAGGCTGTAGCAATAATACATAAAGCCACGTGGTACAAAAATGCAAACCGCGCACATAGATGTACAAAATATATATATTTTTGTTTACATGCATCTATTTTTCATAGCCACGAACTCCGAGGCTGTGAAAAAAGTGACAACTAAAAGAACTCCCCCAAACAAGGTCCTCACGTGCTGCAGATGTGCATCTATTCTACAGTGGGTTTTGTAGTGACCTCTGACATTTATATACTTTTATTTTATTGAGAATATTAAAAAATATATATAAATTATGTGATGTTTTTGCAAAATGCAAGCAACTGTCTACCAGTCCTACTGTTAAAGAGAGCTCAACATTATAAACCGAAATAACTAATCAGATAATGATTAGGGATCATCATATAATAATTAACTATTATTATGAAACTAATTCACAAAACACCAAACATAAAAACATCTGAAAATATTCCAAATGACTGTGATCGTTCTTAAGTAGGATGACCAGATCCCAACTCACCACATGTGGGACAGAGACTGCTCACTGTGGGACGTGAAGCTTCAGTCTAACCAGATAAAGTTAAAATGTTTTTTTTTATCTATTCTGCCTTTTATCTCTAACACGACTGTTAAATATACATACAATTATTATACAATTGATGTCTCATATGTTCTTTTTTAAACTTGAATAAGCAAACAGCAAAAGCTTTAATGCAGTTTCTCAGTTCCTCTCCAGTTACCACAGCTTAACTCAGGCTGGACCTTCTACTGTGGCTCTGAGTAACTTTAGCTACAGTTACTTTAAACCATCAAATATAGACAGGCCCACTATAAAATAATAAAGGTTTAAGCAGCTTTTTAAAGTTTTCACTGAATATTTGTGCTGACTTTCCACAACAGAAAGATAGTAAAAGTTCCAGTAACATCTTTAGATCTATTTATGTTTATTTTCCACTAATAACATCTCATTGAGAACAGATCCATACTGTTCTGCAAGTTTTTCTTCTTCTTGATTTCAAATCTCTTATATGTAGGGAAGACGTGTCTAAAGGGATTAGCCTGTATGCACCTGAAACAACAACCGCAGCAGCTTGTCTGTCAGAATCTTCTTTAGGTTAGGATGGACCTGTCTAATTACTGGGAAAGCGGTTTTTGACCAACACTTGAACTCAACTCCTCCCCCCACCCAAAAGAACACAAGCCTACACATCAGTTAAGGATGAAACTGAAGAGACAACCCTGCTAAAGTTCTGGACAGAAAACTGACGTATCTGGAGGGGATTTTGATGATTTTACAAACTTAAAGCTCCAACCGCTGCCAGATGTTGAAGCGACAGTAGTAGCGGCGCCGTGATACAGGCTACCGCAGCGTGTTTTTCCCTAGCTGTCTCTGTGACTGTGATTGGTCAAATGGCGACTCGAGACCCACTAACAAAGATGGTTTGTGAAGAGGATGAACACTCCTCATTTTTCTGAAACTGATTCTTATAAAGAGCGACTGAAACCCGACCAAAGACTCACCTTCCCAAAAACAAAAACTCTTTGATTCATGTGAACAAATTTGGTTTCATAAACGGCAATTTTCGCTGAAAAGCATCAAGTTTGCAAGTATGAGATGAACGTATTTTAAAATCACGTCAATACGAACCAAATTTAAGACTTTACTAAATCAATTTAAGACTTTTAAGGGTCTTAATTTTCCTTTCATCAAATTCAACACTTTTAAGACTTTAAGACCCCGCGGACACCCTGATCATGTGTATCCCTGCTTCTGGATCACCCCACCGAGCAGAAAGCACAGATTCAGTCGACTAATTATGTGGGACTTTGCTAAAATTTTATGAAAAAAAAAAAAGATAGATCAGAGTTCTTTTATCGTTCAGTCGGTGGGTGAAAACTAAAACGGATACATTTGATATTCTCACATGGTATCGCACGAGATTATTTTGACAATCTGAAAACTTTCCCTAATACGAGGATCACGTCTGTAAACATTTGTGTAAATTATAATGCTTGTAAGCCATGTTCAACAATAACAGATCTGTGTTTGTTTCCAAATGTACTACAAAAAGGCTGTTAGCTCTGATTGTTGCTCAAGACCAAATATTTATGTCTGCAAGACAATGAATTATTAAAATCAAATTAGATCTGGGTGATAAAATAATAGCAATATATATTAGAAAATTACTTTTCCCCCATTGACATTTGAGAACAGGTTGATAGAACCTTGTTTTAAGGAATAATTGAACAGCCAATCCTGCTAATGGCTATTATATAGCTTTAGCCCTGTGCTGCAGGTAACAGGCTACACGGCAGGTAAAAACAGGAAAACTTTAACATTGAATGGGGAAAAAAACAGAGAGAATGACGTTTAAAAAAAGGGACCTGTCCGAAAGCCTTCAACTTGAAATGCCATATTTCCCAGCGTCCCTGAACACATCATCTCTGAAGCCGACACAAGCATCAGCTGCTGTTCAGCGTGGTCTCACACAACAGCCTGTGTTTACCTAATACGGAGATTTACCTTGGTTATTGTCCGGTGTGCATTCCATGAGTGAAAAGTAAGTTTCATTATTTATTAATTCAGATTATCCTGTTTAGTTCTTGCCCGTTTCATGCCAACTACAGCAGGCATAATTATCGCTTGTTAAGACTAACTAGTGTCTATTAACCTTTGTATTTGGTGATAGATGTTATTAGTTGGTTCGAATGCATGCTACTTAATGTTGTAAAACTATTTCATTTGTGTGGGATATTTCATTTACACTGGAATGTTGTATTCTCTTTCTAATCAGAAACCAGTTCATCAAATAAACTGATTAAAGATTCTCTGACAGAGGCTGTCCATGGTGTCCCGACCTTTAAGAATCACTACAAATCCAAATGAACAGGACCAAACAGTTCAGTTGTGTGGATGTAGTTTGGATTTTCCTGAGTTTGTTAGAACCTGTTGTGGTGCAGCTATAGCTCATAGCTGCGAGGTTCTGACTGTCTCTTTATATTTTTCTTTTTTTATTGTATTTTATTAAACAAGTTCTATTAAAAACAAGCAGAGAATTTTTGAGATTTTACATTTCGGTGCTTATTTTAGTGCTTGAAGATTTTAGTTTAAAATAAATCTCTCAATTTTTTTTCCTAAACAGTGGCTTTTATGACATGTTAAGCTTTTGAAATTAAATCTAAATCCAAAACAATCTTCTGATATATTCTCTTCATATATTCTCTTACCAGCACCAGAGAGCATTAAAGAGTGACAAATATAGTAACTTGGTTTATATCATGCTTTATATTGATTATCCTATCGTGATAGGAATTGTTTTCCATATCGCCCGGCCATAAATCTAATTCTGTACGGCAGCCAATTTTTCAAATCATATTTTTGATCAAAGACTGAAAATATGAAAAACAAGACTTATTTTGTTTCATGTATTTTTGTGACAAAAAAATGAAAAACACCCAATTACTTTTATTTGACCCATGTTCTGATTATTGTTTCCAAACCAAAACTTGTTGGTCGACAAGTACATGAACCTCTATTGGCTCTTAAGCCTGGTTTATGCTTCTCCGTCAGCTCCGCAAGGGACAGACACGCACGGATTGACGGAAGCGTTTTGCTCTCATACTTCTCCGTCTCCTGTAGAGAGTTGCAAAGCAATTGCCCGGCAGGACAACAGAGGGCGTAGCGCTGTTCTGTGGTATCCTGTCATGTATCGGTCCAAGATAGTGTGTTTATATTGTGTTTTTGTGTATATAAGAGACTTTTAACACGGACATATTTGTCTCTCATTCTCCCACCGCTTCATGCGCTCCCCACCTCTAAACCCACGTTTCCTGTCATTTCCGTCCACAAATAAAACGCTTGCTGCGCATCTTTTCATTCCTCCAGTCACGGGAGAATTAAACGTTCATATTTTTAGAGTTTTTTCGCGAGATATTCTTCAAGCTTCTCCGTGTCTGCCGCTAGTTAAACTCGGCTCTCTTTGCAATGGCGGCGCTGTAAACAACAGCAGCGTCCTGACCAATCACAAGCTTGCGTAATCCGTTTCGTTCGACGGATGTTTAAAAAAGGGGGCTCGACTCCGAGCGTACTTGCGTGCCTGCCGGATCCCTACGCAAGGACGGATAATGGCGTTGCGTGTCTCCGCACTGACGCAGACGGAGAAGCATAAATCAGGCTTTACACACAAGCATCAGCTCCACTCCGCCTGGACCGGGTTGGCAGTGTTCTCATTTGGGTAGCCTTGAATATTCTGAGCATGCAAACATACATTTTTTCAGCTCTCTTCTCGAGGAGGTCTGCCTAGAGCCGAACAGGGCTGACACACCCACTGCTGACCGATTGGCTGGCTCAAAAGCGCGCCTACTATTAGAGGGAGCTTCAGATTGGTGGATAGAATCAGCCCGCAGGGGCTTCCCGTATGCGCGATTCCTTATCATTCTGGATGCTGTGGAGTTAACGAGCCTCTGACTGAAGCTGTTTTTCTGTCTCTCACTGCTGTAAGGAGGCACGCGCACACGCACGCACACACAGTGCTGCAAGACACAGCAAACCAGGATGCAATACCAGAGTCAGAGTCTCCAAAAGCAAGAGTGCTCAGGTTGCTTTTGTTAAATAATGGAGACACAGTGCACTTCTCCGTGCTCTTTGCCCCGCCCACATGCTCAGAGATACGCTCAGGACATCACAGACCGCCCGTGTGCTCAATCACGGCTGCATTCCTAAGGCAGTATGAAACGAACGAGGCTGGGCGTAGCAAAGTGGAGCCGATGCAAGGCCTAAGTCTATTATTCAGCCTGTTGTTACTTTATAAAATGTTGTACCTGCATTGTTCATCCATCCCATCGGAGTCTCTGTTGATGTCATCACTTGAGTAGAACTTGAAGCATGGCTAAAATAAAAAAAAAAAAGAAACATTATGTCATGACACTTAGTGAGAAGGTAAAAGTGAAGCATCTTTGTGCAGGTTAGGAGAATGCCAAGAGGGTATCTGAAGAATCCTACCTTGCAGATCAGAACTTTGAGGACAGGATGCTCAAACACAGAGTTAGGCTGGAACTGGTTAACTTGTTTTCCACAAGCGGTGCAGCTAACCTTCTTCTGCAGGGTATCATCTATAGTGAAATAAAGAACGTTTTCTTCTTAGCCGTTTACCCTAAAAACATTTGAATGTAGCCCCAGCTGTCAACACTAATTTTTTTTAACTCTTTTGTTTAGTTTCTAAACAAAGAAAAATAAAAATCACCTGTTTTTTTGGGTTTGAAATCCACTCTGACCTTCATGGCACCTTTATTTTCATTCCCACTTGGTCTCATCACTAAAGTACCTAAAAAAATCAAATGGCAATCACAAAGAAATCTGCTGCAATTTTAGCATTAGTAATAACCATTAAACTCAATGTTTCATACCTTTTGACCCACTGCCAGTGTTACTGTCAGAAGTGGCTGGTTCATGATCACTTTCATCAGAAGCATCAGATTCATTCAGTGCTTTGTGCCTGGTTACAGCAATGGGCTTTCTAAGACATGTTAGCATGCAGCCATATTAGTTCAAACCACTCAACTTCATCATGACTGAATGCAATTGGTGCTGATGTGTTCTTCATGTCTCCTCCTCACCTCTTGTTGCGAGAAGATGAAGGTTTCATGCTTTCTGTTGAGCTTCCAGGCTGCTGAGGAACCAGAAATGATTTTAACAGCCTTGTAATAAAAACATTTAAAATGGAAGTTTAAACATCCATGACTGACAGTGAGGTAACACTTACCTCATCTCCTTTCTCCCCCATTTGGTCTACTTGCGATTCAGAAGAAGCTAGACTCATTTTACCTGGAGACACGGGAAATGTATCATTGCAGGAACACAGCAGTGCATTAAGCTATTATGCTAGCAGACTTAGCAGGGGTTATAAACAAGTCAACAGCCAAACTGTTTCTACTCAGTCCTTCCTTACTTAATGTACAGCTACTAAAATTACCATGAGCACCACCATCCATCACACAGGTTATAAACAGAACTTGCTTCTGTTGTCTTCTCATTTATTAACTCACGGTATTGATAACACAAAAACTTACTGTATTATTATAACTGTATGTAAAAAACCTGTCTTCCAAAAAAGTTATGTTTTCTTATTGCTTTTATTATACAGGACATAAGATGAAAAAAATCATAAAAACAATGAATGCATCACTTTAAAATAATTTAAAAGCATCATATTCCAGGACAGAACAAAAGGTTTCATGAAATTTATAGTTTTGACAAATTTCGTCTTGCTGCTGTGTTTTGTCGCACGATTGATGTGGGTCTACTTCCAACCCTAAAAGACAATCAAGTATAAAAATATTCTAAATATCAAGTTGGATAGCTGCTCTGCTCCAAATCTCCTCATGTGAGACATTAAAAAGGAACCGAACCTCAAACAGATAAAAAGCAAAAAGTCAACAGATATATTTATACAAGTTTTCATAAACCGGTTCAATATTTATGGAATTATTATTAATGGAAATACAGTCTAATGACATTGTGGGACCAGTGGGCTATATCTTTAGAAAATTGTAAATCCAGCATGTGTAAACTGTTATGAATCGCCACTGATCACACCAGTCTTCCTTTCACTGTTTCTATGTATTCACTGTTGTTGATTTATTGTTTTTGTTAGTTGTGGTTTTAAATCTCAGATTTCAGTTATCTACACATTTTACTACTAAACTTCATACAGCGTGAGTTCTACATGCTGCTTTTGACCTTATCACGTGTTTCTGCTGTTGTTACACAACAACCCCCTCAGAAGATCATTACGGCCTCGAACATACCTTTTGTTTTTTTGCCTCGTGGAGCACTAAACTTCCGGTTCATAACAGCCGCTGGCATCACGTTAATTCAGACGAGATAGACTGGGCTGATTGTTTTAGCCTTATAATTTATGTATCTATTTCATTTTGATAACAAATAAATCTACATGATGCGGCTGCCACTTTCATTTGTTGAGCTCTAACTCGTCTAATACTTTTTGTTTTTAGCTACATCAGAGCTGATTAGTTAGCCATGACGTGATCAAATGTCAGTCCCAAAGGCACCAAAACCCACAATTTAAGCAGAGGTGTAGAATAAATTCCGAACCAAAATTTTACAGTTCCAGCTGAGAAACTCCTTAATCCCCAACAAAGCCAATGACAGCCCAGAAACTCAAATAAACGAGATGTGAGGCAACCGCTTGCTAACATCTGCGTGTTTAGCGCTTGGTTTGCACTTTACCGCAAAATCTCATTGTCCCACTTTTTCCGGCCTGGCAACGCTGCATTCTCGCCTGTGCATGCAGGGACTGGTGCATGGGCATGCAGCAATGCATGGAGGCCTTTTCCGTGGCACAAACTGCGCCCTACATGCAGACCGGGTCTGCCTTAACATCCGAAGTAGCCGCCGCTACACAACGTTTAGACGTTGACAACCCAACGTAAATTTTCGCGATTTCATAAATTATTAATGCCATAACGTTTTATTTGCATTGAACAACATTTCACGTTTTCACACGAGAGCACTGGCCAGTGCACTGCACGGACTTCAGCGTTGCCGGTTGCGCAGCTAGAAGCAACATCTCAGATAGCTTAGCTTGCCGTTAGCAAAGATGTAACTGAGACCAACGCAAAAAACAAACAGTATAAACAGCGTTCCTACCGGCTTTTCAGCGTCGTCATTTCCTGACAAAACCAGAGTGGTTTGGTTTAAGCTTTAGCAAACTCCCTTTATTCCAAAACGCAAAATATTCGATGGTGCGGAGGCAAAAATTAAAGATAAAAACCGAAATAACTCCGGTCAGGAGAGACAAAGCAAAGGGACCATCTTGCCGGATGATTATGGACGCGGTAAAATGGCGCATCCAGTCTCCATCATGTGAGCGTTTCTATTGGCTGATCGTGGAAGCGCGCCTGCGCCTGTGATTGGTCCAGGGATCCGGCGGAAGGAGGGAAGGATTTCCTAGAGAATGTGGGACAGGCGATAAAGCAAGCTGTTGTGACATATAACCACACCACTTCCTCAGGACCGTACTCATCCCAAGACGAGGATGTGTCTAACACGCTATAAGTTTTTATGCTGTTAAACTTGGACCTGTTTGGTCACCATTAGGGGGACTTGATTTTAATATGATTTTTTTTACATTCTACTTTTAGTTTTTTTAATTTTATTCCAGAAGTGGGGAACCCTGGTCCTCAAGGGCCGGTGCAGGGCCAGATTAACACTTTGTTGTACCCTGGGCAACAATATTCAAGGGCCCCATCATCACGACCCAAGGATCACCATAATATGGTCACATACAGAATATATTACTGTAATATGCAGTAAATATACTCAATACTTGAATGCCTGACATCACGTAACCGCTCAGGGTAACCTTTGACCCACCTTGTGTGGACTGACCAATGAGGAGAGGGTCTTAACTTGAGGCCCTCTCTTCATTGGTCGTCTGCATGAGACTGACTCTCAACTGACGTTCAGTCATAGGCAGCGAAGCGTCTCTGTGCAGCGCAAAAGCCCGGGTGGACAGTTTGTTTAATATAGGGTGACCATATTTCCATTTACAAAAAGGAGGACAGGGGATCTGTGCCTATGATGTCACACCTTGGCCCATATGGGACCCTTTTTTTGTAAGAACTAAATTAATATCAGATTCTGCCAATGAAAGGGCTCTAAAACAATTCATATGTCAATATTTTGCATGTTTATTGCAAAATCTCATTTTTCTGCTTTAGTGCTGCAATAAGGTTTTATTAATAATAAATTATTATACCTTTTGTTTTATTACAGCATCGGTACACTTCCTGTGCACAGATTATTAAAGATGCTTGTTTCAGCTGTGAGATTAGACGATAGGATCAATGATAAAATAAGTTGTCACACACTCCATGGAAACTTCCAGAGAATCCACAAATAGTGGCTTTGAAATGGTTTTGTTACTTTTAGCAAGTTTAGAAAAGCAGCAGATGAGACAGCGTGTCTGATAAGTTAGTTTATCATCTGATAATGTTAGAACATGTCAGTAATGTCTGAGGAGCTTTTATAAGCACTTTATAACTAACACTACTGGACAGGGTATGGATTACACAGAGGCTTCTGGGGAGCCCATTTATGGGGGGTGGGGGTGGGGTCATTTTGCCTTGGCCCCCAAAATGTCTTGAAACGGCCCTGGGTGTGTGACTGAGTGTTGAAGGTGATCTGAATTGTATCAGATGTATAAATATGACATGTGTATAACTTATTGTTTTATACAGGTAAAAACGTGTAGTGGAGATAAATCTACCTACATTTTACTTTGTTTTCTTGTTTTTATTTAACTATTTTCATGTCCTGTCTGTCTCTCATCTTCCTGCATCTCCTCTAAACTCTCCAGAAAAACTGCTGCCTGGATTCTTACTTTTTCACCTCATCAGTTACTTTTGAGCAGATCAAAGGGATCTCCTGACCACAAAGCGGAGAGCGCGTTTCGTTGCTGCGTCAGTGAGGTGATATCACCGCAGTGCAGGTGATGAGCTCCGCAGTAGCAGAGCGCTTCAGGCACAAATAAGACAGAAAGTAGAGAAAATGTGCAGACATGAACCATCGTGTGTTAATTATAGTTTTTTGGTTGCGCCACTTTGAGAATGGACCATGCGCTGGAAGCAGCAGCCTGAGCGCTGCACAACAACACGCTGTGCCGCTTTCTGTGCTCTCTGCTCAAAAGAGTCCATAAATGATGTAATATAGGTAGAAAACTTTTTTCCGGCTCCTCTGGATGTGTAGGATATCCAACTCCCCCATAATTCGATCCCTGCTCCTGGATGAAAAGCCGGACATTTTCATCAATACAAGAACCCCCAGTCCGGACGCCCAGACAGAGAGTGAAAAGTGGACATGTCCGGGGAAAACGGGACGTACGGTCACCATAGTCCTCATAAAGCGGGAGATTACAGATACATTATTTTGCTCGTGCCCTTGCTGCCCTGGGCCCTTTAAAGTTCGTGGGCCCTGGGCAATTGCCCAGTTGCCCGTATGGTTAATCCAGCCTTGGCCGGTGTCCTGCATGTCTTTGCTCCAACACTTCTGATTCAGTGGTTGATTCACCTGTTCAGCAGCTCATCAAGCTCTGCAGAAGCCTGTTAATCACCTGCTGATTGAAATCAGGTGTGTTGAAGCAGGGCTGAAACTAAAACATGCTGGATACCTGCCCTCGATGGACCAGGGTTCCCCACCCCTGTTTTATTCTAAGACCTTTTTGAAAAACTACAAATTATTCAACATTGATTGGTTTCAGTGTACAAGAGGTCCTAGTAATCCAAATATCTACGGGAAATAAGAAATAACAAAGCCACTGAACCAAATATTGAGTCTATCTCCCAGTTTTGGTCCTCCATCACATCCCTCACTCATGGTGTCCCACAAGGTTCTGTGATGGGGCCCCTACTCTTCTTCCTCTGTCTGCTTCTTCTTCATTACGTCCTGAGCTCCTTCAAATGAATCTCCTACCGTCTTTATGCAGATGACACCCAACTGTACATCTCATTTAAGCCGCATGAGATCTCTAAGCTGCAGTTGTTACACACCTGCTTAGACTCTATTAAAATCTGGATGGCTGGGAGATTTCTGGAGCTAAATGAAGATAAGACTGAGATCCTCATCTGTACCCCAGGCAAGCTGGTTCTCAGTCAGAGACTTTCTTGGTCAGCTCTCTGCTCACACCAAACCCTCTGTCAGGAATCTTGGTGTGACCTTTGACCCAGCTCTCACCCTGGATTCTCATGTCAGTTCTCTTGTTCGCTCTTCCTTCTTCCATCTCAGGAACATTGCTAAGCTGAGTCCCATTCTTTCCCGCTCTGAACTTGAGACAGTTGTCTACACCTTCATCTCCCCTGAACCGTCTACAGGTGGTTCAGAATGCCTGTGCTCGACTTCTGACTAAGTCCTCCAAACACACCCACATCACCCCACTTCTCCTCCAGCTTCACTGGCTGCCGGTTATCTTCAGGTTTCGTTTCAAGATCCTGGTTCTGGTCTATAAGGTCTTACATGGACAACCATCATTGGTTATCTTCTTAGTCCCTACACCTCCAGCAGGTCCCTGAGGTCCAGTGATCAAAGCCTACTATTTGTACAGCAAAGGTGACAGATCATTTGCTGCTGTGGCCCCCAGACTCTGGAACTCTCTCCCCCTGAGCCTGAGATCAGTGGACTCAGTGGTCACCACCCTCTCTTTATTCTGCTCTTTCTACCCACTCCGCCTTTCCCAGGATCCACTAATGTCCCTCTTTCCTATTCATTTTCTCTCTCCTTTTCCTTACATTACTTTTATTTTTTTAATCACAATTTTAATTTTATTTTCTCATTTTAAACATTTTTAATAATTTTTTGAAATCTTTTTTATACTTTGTTTATTTTTTGTTTGGCATTGGTTTTATTGGAAATTAAGAGTTAAAAATGTTGATATAATGTATATTGATGTAGTAATGTTGATATCAAACATCCTTTCTTGTAAGCCAAAGTGTACAGATTCATAAACATTTGCTTCATTTGTCAAAACTCATTTTAGTTATGGGTTTCTTATTAACAATAAAAAAAACTAAACAATGTTTAGAATGTTTCCCAGTGATGAAACAGTGAAATATGTAAAAATATTCAAAGCAGGCATTTACATGGCTGATAAACAATGCAAGCTAATGCACACATTGTGGTGCAAATGCTTGAAATATATTTTTTATAAGGTTGTTCACCGAGTTTGAGTTGGGCACCCACAGAACATTTTAATAACGGTGGCCAGACATGTCATGGCGGGCGGCAATCTTTTGACCCACGACATGCAGAATCACCACACAGGAACCGGTAAGTAAGTAAAACGACTTTATTATGTACTGAAGGGCAACGAGGGGAACAGACGACGGGCAGACTGGCAGCAAGATTTCAGGATGGAACTCTGAGGAGGGAGACAAAATGAGTATATGGAGGAATGACGGAGAATGATATTGGGAGTGGAGCTTACTGATTGCAGTAGTGGTGAGAACCTCCGGAGGGACTGGTCAGGTCCGGGTGAGCAGGAAAGCTCCAGAAGGTGATGGGACTGTTGGTCCAGAGAGTAGGTAGGAGCAGCGGTTTGGTGGAGGCAGGTGAGCGGCTGAGAGCGAGCGGCCAGGGGAGGAGACGGCGTGATCTGGTGTGCAGGAGTCCAAGCTGGTTATGGAGGTGGTGGAGTGTGAAAGAGAAACCTGGAGCAGAGCAGGGGAGGATTATCAGGGTTTCTTCTGACGACAGAAATCAAGCAGAGCTTCAAATACAGGTTAGTGACTAGGAACTAGAAATTTCACAGGATCAAGACAGGTTAAGGCTAGAGCTACCCAAGATAGAGTAATCATCCGGCGAAGTGAAGTGCCACACTGCTCCTTAAATCCCCTGGGCCGTAATGACTGGATTGGCTGCAGCTGGAGACTCTCAGACTCTCAGACACGCCCACCTGAAAACAATGCTCAGAAAATACAGGGGAAATGCAGGAGGCTCACCACGGACCGTGACAGTACCCCCCCCTCAACGGGCGCCACCCGGCGGCCGAGCAGAGGAGGAGGAGGCGGAGGAGGAGGCAGCCCGAGAGGCCTCGAAGTCCCTGATGAGATCCGGATCCGTTATGAAGGATCGAGGAACCCAGGAACGATCCTCCGGACCATACCCCTCCCAGTCCACCAGGCACTGGAGGCCCCTGCCTCGGGGACGGACGTCGAGGAGACGGCGGACCGGGTAAACCAGGCCACCGCCGACGAGCCGGGCAGGTGGAGGAGGAGCAGGGGCAGGACACAAAGGACTGGACAGAACAGGTTTCAGCAGGGAGACATGGAACACAGGGTGGACACGCATGGACGGAGGCAGGGCCAGGCGGACAGCGGAGGGACTAATGACGTCAGTGATCGGATACGGACCAATGAACCGCGGTGCCAACTTCTTGCTGGTGTCCCTCAGCCGGATGTCCCTGGTGGAGAGCCAGACCTTCTGCCCAGGGACATACACAGGAGCAGGTCGCCTGTGGCGATCTGCCAGACGGCGGTTGCGGTCAGCTGTCCGTTGAAGGGCCGCCGTGGTCTGAGCCCAGGTGCGCCTGGCACGGCGAATGAACTGGGGGGCTGTGGTAGGAGGGTCCTGACTGGATGGGAACAGAGGGGGCTGGTAACCTAGAACGGTTTCGAACGGGGACAAACCTGTAGATGCAGAGGTGTGAGCTTGTGTGCGTATTCCACCCAGGGCAGTTGGGAACTCCATCCCGAGGGGTTGGATGAACACACGCATCTTAAAATAGCTTCGAGCTCCTGATTCATCCTCTCACATTGTCCGTTCGTCTGAGGATGGAACCCGGAGCTCAGGGCGACACGGGCCCCCAGGTGGTTTGCAAAGTCTTTCCATACATGGGACAGGAACTGAGGACCACGGTCAGATAAGATCTCTGCAGGAATACCATGGAGACGGAAGACATGTTTGATTAGGAGACTGGCAGTTTCGGCAGATGTTGGGAGAGACTTAAGAGGAACCAGGTGACAGGACTTAGAGAATCGATCGACGATAGTGAGAATGACTGAAAAACCATTAGAGGGGGGTAGACCAGTAACAAAATCCAAAGCTATATGAGACCAGGGGCGAGTGGGTACCGGAAGTGGGTTGAGAAGACCAGCTGGGGGTTGATTACTGCATTTGTTTCTGGCACAGATGGAACAGGCACTGATGTATTCACGGACGTCTTTGTACATTGAGGGCCACCAGAAGGTTCTACGGATTAAAGCCAGTGTACGGCCAACCCCAGGATGGATAGAGAATTTAGCTGTGTGGGCCCAATGTATCAGATCACCACGAACCCGGGTAGGGACATATACCTTGTGTGGTGGACCGGTACCTGGATCGGGTTCAGTCTGCTGGGCATCCTGAACTTTCTTTGTGATGTCCCAATCTACAGCGCCCACTATGCAGGATGGTGGCAGAATAGGGGCTGATTCGGGGTCTTTGTCGGGTGAATACAGTCTGGACAGGGCGTCAGGTTTAGTGTTCTTGGAACCGGGTCTGAAAGAGATGAGAAAGTGGAAACGGGAGAAAAACAGGGACCAGCGGGACTGTCGAGGATTCAATCTTTTAGCCTCCTTTAAATATGCCAAGTTTTTATGGTCGGTCCAGATGATGATAGGGTGTTCCGCTCCCTCCAGCCAGTGTCGCCACTCCTCCAGGGCCAGTTTAATGGCCAACAGTTCCCGATCCCCGACATCGTAGTTCCTCTCAGCTGGGGAGAGGCGGCGAGAGAAGAAAGCGCATGGGTGGAGACGGTGATCTGAGGGGGAAACCTGTGACAGCACAGCACCAACACCAGAGTCAGAAGCGTCAACCTCCAGGGTGAACTGGGCAGAAGTGTCAGGACGGGTCAGAATAGGTGCTTGCGTGAATTTGTCTTTTAGGGCTTGGAAGGATTCTTCATTAGAGGGGGACCAAATAAAGGGTTTATTAATGGATGTGAGCTGAGTGAGTGGGGCGGCAGTCTGGCTGTAGTTTTTAATGAAACGACGGTAAAAATTTGCAAAACCTAAGAAGCGTTGAAGCTGCTTGCGTGTGGTGGGAGTAGGCCAGGAGAGAACTGACTTGATCTTTTCTGGATCCGTCTTCAACCGCCCGCTCTCAAGGATGAAGCCGAGGAACTTAACTGAGGGTACGTGGAACTCGCATTTCTCTGCCTTTACATAGAGCCGGTTCTCCAGTAGGCGTTGAAGTACACATCTGACATGTTGTCGGTGTTCAGCAGGGGATCTGAAGAAAATAAGAATGTCATCCAAATAGACTGTGACAAACTGGTTGAGGTAGTCGCCAAGAACAGAATTGACCAGGGATTGAAACACTGCGGGGGCATTTGTGAGACCAAAAGGCATGACTAAATACTCAAAATGACCAAGGGGAGTCTTGAACGCCGTTTTCCATTCATCGCCCTCTCTGATTCGGACGAGATGGTAAGCATTGCGTAGGTCGAGTTTTGTGAAAATGGTAGCATCTTGAACAGGTTCGAATGTGGATGACAGTAACATAAGAGGATATTTGTTTTTTACTGTAATCTGGTTGAGCCCTCTGTAATCAATGCAAGGTCGAAGTGAACCATCCTTCTTAGTTACAAAAAAGAATCCTGCTCCTAGTGGTGAAGTGGATGGTCTGATGATACCAGATGCTAGGGATTCGTTAATGTAGGTGGACATGCTGAGCTGTTCGGGTTTGGATAGGTTATACAACCTGCTGGATGGAAGTGTTGCGCCCGGCAGGAGATCGATGGCACAGTCGTAAGGACGGTGAGGAGGTAGAGATGAGGCTCGGTCCTTACTGAACACAAGGGCGAGGTCATGATACTCCTTTGGTACTTCAGACAGGTCGGGAGGAACTGGGGAATCGGCTGTTGGTGCTGAACAGATAGGTGGAGCAGAACGAAGGCAGTCAGTTAGGCAGTGTGAGCTCCAAACAGTAACTCGGGATGTTTTCCAATTTATTTGTGGGTTGTGCTTAACCAGCTAATCATATCCTAAGACTACGGGGGAGTGAGGAGATGGAAAAACAAAAAACGAGATACTTTCCTGGTGGTTGCCTGACACCAGCAAGCTGACTGGCACGGTCTGGTGGGTTATGGTAGTGAGAGAGTTGCCATCCAGGGATGATGCTCGCAGAGGAGTCGGAAGGAGAATAGTGGGAATGTCCAGATCTTGAACGACTGATTGGTCCAGCATGTTACGTTCGCATCCAGAGTCTACTAAAGCCTTCAACACACGACTTCTTTGATTACACACCACAGTACAAGGAAGCAAACATCGGGAGTTTGAGCCACCATTACCACCCACCAGTAATCCCGGAACTACTGGTGGGCTTGCCCTTTTACCCGCAAGCCACAATTTGAGATTCTGTGCCCTGATTGACCACAGTAAAAACAAAGATTAGCGGAGAAACGACGTTGCCGCTCCTCCTGACTCAGCTGGGTTCTGCCGATCTGCATAGGCTCGTCTCCTGAGGAAGATGCGACTGGTGGCTGAGGGGTTCTGGTTTGAGTTAGCGGTGGAAATGACATTCTAGAGCCCTTAGAACGCTCCTTGAGACGCTTTTCAATCTTTATGGCCAAGGTAATAAGGGTTTCGAGGTCAGGAGGTTCCTGGCATAACGCCAACTGATCCTGGAGGCGATCATTTAACCCCTGGGTAAATGCTCCCAGTAACGAACCACTATCGAGGGAGGAAGTTGCTGCCAGCGTGCGAAATGTTATGGCGAAATCGGCTACTGTTTGAGTTCCCTGGCGGAGATTCCACACTTTTTTGGCTACCTCAGCTGGGGTCTCTGAGTGATCGAACGTTTGCTTGAATTCAGCTAGGAAATGTGAAAGTGGACCACGCAGAAAACTAATGTCATGGCTCCTGGCTTCAGCCCAATCTAAAGCCTTACCCCAGAGTAAACCGATAATATAGGAAATCTTAACTGAATCTAACATGAAAGCTTCAGGAGATCTTTCAAAAGCCAACTGGCAATTAAACAGAAAACCACGGCATTTGCCGAACTCACCGGAATAGATGTCTGAAGGAGGCGAGTTGGGTATCCGGAAGTTTACAGTAGGGGGCGGAACCGGAAGTACGGACGGAGGAGAAACGGGAGGCTGAGCAGAAGGTTCCGAGGGAGTTAAGCGTGTAGTGAGATTACGTAACATTGTGTCCATCTGGAGTATTCGTCGGTGAGAGTCGGAGACTTGCTCCAGTAAACCATGGATGGCGTGTTCATGGCGTGTGAGAACCTCAGAAACAGCGAGCGGAGCACTAGTGGACGGGTTGGATTCTGCAATGGGATCATTGTTATGGCCGGATGATTCTGTCATGGCGGGCGGCAATCTTTTGACCCACGACATGCAGAATCACCACACAGGAACCGGTAAGTAAGTAAAACGACTTTATTATGTACTGAAGGGCAACGAGGGGAACAGACGACGGGCAGGCTGGCAGCAAGATTTCAGGATGGAACTCTGAGGAGGGAGACAAAATGAGTATATGGAGGAATGACGGAGAATGATATTGGGAGTGGAGCTTACTGATTGCAGTAGTGGTGAGAACCTCCGGAGGGACTGGTCAGGTCCGGGTGAGCAGGAAAGCTCCAGAAGGTGATGGGACTGTTGGTCCAGAGAGTAGGTAGGAGCAGCGGTTTGGTGGAGGCAGGTGAGCGGCTGAGAGCGAGCGGCCAGGGGAGGAGACGGCGTGATCTGGTGTGCAGGAGTCCAAGCTGGTTATGGAGGTGGTGGAGTGTGAAAGAGAAACCTGGAGCAGAGCAGGGGAGGATTATCAGGGTTTCTTCTGACGACAGAAATCAAGCAGAGCTTCAAATACAGGTTAGTGACTAGGAGCTAGAAATTTCACAGGATCAAGACAGGTTAAGGCTAGAGCTACCCAAGATAGAGTAATCATCCGGCGAAGTGAAGTGCCACACTGCTCCTTAAATCCCCTGGGCCGTAATGACTGGATTGGCTGCAGCTGGAGACTCTCAGACACGCCCACCTGAAAACAATGCTCAGAAAATACAGGTGAAATGCAGGAGGCTCACCACGGACCGTGACAAGACAGGCCAAAGAAAATTTTGGGGTGGCACACCACACTGGTTCTTGTGACTCTGGGAGAGTTTAGCCTGTGGCGATACATTGCTCCTTTATTCTTTTTTATTAAAGACAATATGTATCAAAAACACTTTACTTAAATTTGAGAAACACAAACATTTCAGAAAATACATTTCAGTTATTTTAAATGTCATTTCCTAATTTATTTTAGAATTGTATATTATTTTATTTTTTATATGTTATTTAGTTTACCGGTTGCTGTCTTTACAAAACCTATGGAGATGTAAACTTTCTTTTAACCCTTTGCATTATGGTCACTACAGTGGACAGGTACTCAAAATTGTTATTTATTTATTTTTGCTAGTAAGCGCAGCTGTTGAAGACTTTATTGCAATTGAGCCCTTCCATTTGGACTTCAGTAAGTCAAGCCAACATATTTCGTGTTCAGAATGCACGCTGTCCACTGAGGTGGACATGTAATAAACTATGTGTAAATTAAATGTTGCAAAAAATATGTAAATAGGAAATTTGTTTCATTCACACCTAAAGATGAATGAAATTTTTTCATAATTCATGCATCAAAGCAGCAGAAACTTATATCATATTGTTATTCTGATTATTTCTTTACTCATTAATTGTATATGTTTAATTGGGTTTTACATTTATGTCTAAGATGAATTATGGTTTGATTTAAAATTAATATGATTTATTAACACTGGTCTGTCTTGTGGACAGTAATTTTTTGGGGGCCATGGCCACCCCTTGGGGGCGCCACTGTTCTAATAAAATACACTAGAAGAATTAGGTGTTGTAATGCAGCTAACGCGAATATCTTTGGAAAGTTAGGTGTTATTCAATAGTCATGAAAGCCCTCCCCTGTTAGTATTAGGTCATCATAAACACGATGATCAGAAGTAACTTCAGATCAGCTTGTCTTAGAGCTTCTGTAGGAAATGAGTAATTAGACATTTTTTTCTCATTGAATAAATTTCATGTTTTAGGTTCTGCATAAAAAATAACTTTTTGTTAAACGTTGTAAACAATCATACACCTTTATAATAAAAATAAATAATTAATTAAAAATAAATTGCACCTTTATTTATTTTTTGTTTTATAGTTTGTCACAAAGCTGTTCTTTAATATTTTAAAGCTAAAATAGCCTGAAGATGGAGCTTGCATCTCAAGCTGAAGATTTTGTCTTTTTGTGTGGTGAAAGGATACAAAAATGCCAACTCTCAAGACATGAGATGATATGCATGTGTTAAATTATGCTAAGATAATGCATGGAGCTTGGCTTTGCTTTTACGTCAGCTAAACCCAACTAAGTTTTCTTTCCAACCTAAATTCCATCTACGTGATTGGGTTTTCTACATTCAATTCAAGTTTATTCAAGTTTATTAATATAGTTCCAAATCACGACAAGAGTCGTCTCAAGGCACTTCACATGGTAAACATTCCAATCAGTTCATTATGCCAATCAGAAAAAAGTTTCCTATATAAGGAACCCAGCAAATTGCATCAAGTCACTGACTAGTGTCAGTGACTTTACAGCAATCCTCATACTAAGCATTTAGCGACAGTGGAGAGGAAAACTCCCTTTTACCAGGAAGAAACCTCCAGAGAATCCTGGCTCAGTATAAGCAGCCATCCGCCACGACTCACTGGGGATCGAGAAGACAGAGCAGACACACACACACACACACACACACACACACACACACACACACACACACACACACACACACACACACACACACACACACACACACACACACACACACACACACACACACACACACACACACACACACACACACACACACACACACAACATATATACCAAGTAATGTTTCTATGGTTATTGCAGAGGTCACCACTGATCACTAGGGTGTGCTGTGATCAAACCTGGAGGGAAAAAGGTGTATTCAGGGATGTGCCTGAAGTCACGTACATGTGACTATCCCCTTCAGGGACGTGCCTGAAGTCACGTACATGTGACTATCCTTGACTGTACATACTGCTGCTTCTCATTTGTATTGCTGCTGCTCAACCATCACACTGCTGTCTATCCATGCTACTGTTAAACTTGTATCCAGGGTTCGAAATTAAATTTTTGACTCACCGGCCAAGTTGGCCGGTAGATGATGAAAATCTACCGGCCAAGCATATTTTTACCGGCCAAAATTATAAATGATTTAGATCTACCTAAAGCATGTAATTCTATATTATGTTGATTCCAAACAGAGTGACAAAATAATTAAAACATCAATTAATAAGGAAAACAACTCTTTTGTCACTTTTACTATTTATTTATTTATTTTTAGAGATGTTTTTATGAACTCTTTCATTGAAATCTAGTCAGACTCCTTGCTTTCTCTGTCCATGAAGTCTGGCCTCCTGCTTCTGACACCGTCTTTGTGCCAAAGCATTACAGCCTCATTTGGGTCATAGTCCTTGATCTCTGGAGAACACAGCTTCACCATGAGAATATCTGAAAGTGTGTCAGGGCTAGGGTTGTCACGGTAACCGGTGTAGCAGTAAACCCCGGTAAAAAAGTTGACAATAAATAATAACAGTCTTGTTTAAAATAAATTTAAAAAAAAAAATATATATATATATATAATCTCGGTGGGTTACCGTGGCTGCGGCGTAGGCATGGTGACCCTTACCAGCCACCGTATCATCTGCTAGAAGTTGCCGGCGGCACATGCGCACTTTGTTGTTTACGACCAAAACTTTCTTTAAGCTAAAGCTGAAATAATGGCAGGAGGAGACGGCAGCACTTGGGACATTTATTATCCCTCAAAGAAGACAAAGTCGGAAGTATGGGCATTTTTTGGATATTTGAAGAATGTCGAGGGCCAGTTGTCTGTGAAAGGCAGCAACGCTACGTGGCCATCATAATGTAGCCGCTGTCTCACGACTCCACCGTCTCCAGTTCGCCACTTTTCACAAAATCTTCTGGTTGCCACTGGACCTGGTGGTTTTTCTTCCAGTTCGACGAGTTTTCATTTGGAAGGCTGGCTGACTCCAGTTAAAAACCGCCACATTTCACCGCTAGTTTTAACACGAAGCTAACTGCTAACTTGATAAACTGATTGAATGGGATAGGTGGAAATGACGTTGGATGCGGCGTTCACGTTTCGCGTACGTTTGTGTAAGTTGCATGCAGGCGGGAGGAGTATCAGAAATCCGTGGAAGACGACTGATAAACATAACTAATTTGGTGCAAACATTTACTCGCCAGGTGGCAGGTAGAGCTCAAAAATTTACTCGCCAAATGGAGCAATTTACTCGCATTTGGCGAGTGGCGAGTGTCAATTTCGGACCCTGCTTGTATCTGTAAGTCTTCACCTGCTTGTCAAGCTAATGTAATGGTCACATTGTCAGTATGCATGCTAAGCTGCGCTGCATTTGTTTACCTATTTTATCGCATAGCTTAGCTTTGGCCGTCAGCCCATGCTGCTGTTTCACACTGCCGTTAGCTTCTGCTCACTCAGCTTTGTATGTCACTGCAGGGCTCCTTCATCCTTGTCAACAAAGCCATTAGACATCGACCTGTGGTCGACGCCTCTTCCAGTCCTGTGGTCGACGCCTCTTCCAGTCCTGTGGTCGACCCCTCCTCGGGTCCTGGAGTCGACCCCTCCACCTGTCCAGAGGTCGACATCCCCTCCAGTCCAGAGGTCAACGTCCTCTCCAGTCCAGAGGTCGACGTCCCCTCCAGTCCAGAGGTCGACATCCCCTTCAGTCCAGAGGTCGACGTCCCCTTCAGTCCAGAGGTCGACGTCCCCTTCAGTCCAGAGGCCGACGTCTCCTCCTCCAGTCCAGTGGTCGACGTCTCCTCTTCCAGTCCAGTGGTCGACGTCTCCTCCTCCAGTCCAGTGGTCGACGCCGTTCCCAGTCCAGTGGTCGACGCCGTCTCCAGTCCAGTGGTCGACGCCATCTCCAGTCCAGTGGTCGACGCCGTCTCCAGTCCAGTGGTCAACGCCACCTCCAGTCCCCAGTCCAGTGGTCAACGCAGTCTCCAGTCCAGTGGTCGACGCCGTCTCCAGTCCAGTGGTCGACACCGCCTCCAGTCCAGTGGTCGACGCCGCCTCCAGTCCAGTGGTTGACGCCGCCTCCAGTCCCGTGGTCGACGCCGCCTCCAGTCCCGTGGTCGACGCCGCCTCCAGTCCCGTGGCCGACGTCGTCTCCAGTCCCGTGGTCGACGCCGCCTCCAGTACCGTGGTCGACACCGCCTCCTCCAGTCCAGAGGCCGACGCCGCCAGTCCAGAGGTCGACGCCGCCGCCTCCAGTCCAGAGGCCGATGCCGCCGCCAGTCCAGAAGCCGATGCCGCCACCAGTCAAGAGGTCGACGCCGCCGCCGCCAGTCCAGTGGCCGACGCCGCTGCCTCCAGTCCAGAAGCTGATGCCGCCACCCCCAAGAGCCCGTCGTCGTCTCCTCCTCTGTCCCAGAAGCAGACCCCCAAGAGCCCGTCGTCGTCTCCTACTCTGCCCCAGATGCAGGCCCCCAAGAGCCCGTCGTCGTCTCCTCCTCTGCCCCAGACGCAGGCCCCCAAGAGCCCTTTCTCGTCTCTTCCTCTACCGCGGACGCAGGCCCCCAAAAGCCCGTTGTCATCTCCTCCTCTGCCCCAGACGCAGTTCCCCGGACTCTACTGGTTCCTGCCTCCTCTCCACCGGTCCCTCGGTTCCTCTTGGCTCTCCTTCCTGGTCCCCCTCCTCCCGCCCTGCTCTGTGTTCATGTGGGCGTCTGGGATCCGCCCTTTGAGGGGTGGGGGGGTGGGGTGGGGGGGTGGGGGGTACTGTCACACCCTGTCTGATCTCCCCATTCTGTTCAGTCATGTGTCTCTGTTAATTGCTCCCATCTGCCTCTCGTTTTCCAATCACCCAAGCTTCCAGCCCTCATGTATTTAAACCCCTTCAGTTCTACGTCTTTTGTCGGTTCATTGTTTCAGTGACCAGTGTGTCATTAAAGACTTTTACCTGTTCTAGTTTGTCTGCCTGCCTTCCTTCCTGACCCGCATGTGAATCCTTGCCTCCGCTTCACTTACTGGCACGTTGTGACAATTTGTTTACCTATTTTATCGCATTGCTTAGCTTTGAACATCAGCCCATGCTGCTGCTTCACACTGCCGTTAGCTTCTGCTCACTCAGCTTTGTATCTCGCTGCAGGGCTCCTTCATCCTTGTCAATAAAGCCATTAGACATCGAGGAGTGGATTTCTTCAGTTACATTGTGATTTCTTAGTAAATATTCTATTTGGTGAGAGATAAACTTCATTGTATTTATCCTAGTGAATCTATAATTAAACGGGTAAACTAGTA